AACTAAAGAAAAAACTTACCAACTTGGTTGGCAGGGAGGGCAGGCAGGGGATGGGGCTTGTGTGATTTGGAGCTTTGGCCAATTTGGCAGCAGCTGAATCTCCGAATTAGATTCGGCTGAATTGATTCAGGACAGTGATTTGAATCACCATATCGAATCACTGTCCCCCGAATCGGCCGTATCCAAATCCATAGCGAATACTAGCCATTTCGAACAGACCTAATGTTAAGCCTTGATTCTTCAGTCCAGTCCACAAGGGCAGCTTCTATACTGATACAAGTTTGGGTCCTGTTTTAGTATGTCCTTTTAAAATATTTTTTTAATATTTGTTCTTAATTTCTCCTCATGCATGAGGTTACAGTGCTTAGTTTCACAATAAGGAGGGCAGAACATTTAGGTAATGAAAACTGATTGCCTGTGACAGAGGTCTGTGATTGCTTTTGATGAAACTTAATTTTTCTCTAAATCAGTTGTTGTCATCCTTTTTAAGAGTCTGATAATTTTAGTGTAAGCCCTGACCATTTTCTGGAGCTTCCAGCATCATGGGTAACTGGTACCTCCTGAGTCAGGGGCGGCACTTGCCCCACAGCGACCAGTCAGCGCCCGTGGGGGGGGATCCCCCCATGGCTGGCATGCCGCTGGCACTTCCAGGTTGGCGCAATCGGCTGTTGGGGGACCACGGTTGATTGCTTCTCCTGGCATCTCCATTCCCTGGCCAGTGCTCTCAGGGGGTGCACGTGCTCCCTGGTGCACTCCGTACATGTTGCCACTGTCTAGCATGGTTGGCTTTAAATTTTGAGCTAGAGGTCAGTTTCTGAATTGTTAGGCAATATACTCCTTTTTATTTGTCGAAGTGATATTGATTGGAGGAATTTTTTTAAAATCAAAATACTAGCTTCTAGCTGTGATAAACAAGTCTTTTTCTATCGATGCCATTTGGTCTTTGCCCCTCTGACTCTTCCTTATTAGGGCTATTCACATGTGCAACAAATGCTTTGGCTTTTCAGCTTTTGAGACTAAAATTTTACAGTTAAGGCAAAAAAGAGATTTTGTTTCTCAGGATTTTGTTGTATGGATAGTGGGAAGAATGGCTGGGAGGATAAGTCTTTTGATATTGCTTATTTTTACTTTATCAGTAAAGGCTTTAATTTATAGTGAACAAAATTCATCAGCTTTTCCTGCTTATTGTTTACCTGCTTTGGAGCAATAATAATTTGTTTTGATAGCCATTTAGATGATCGCCTGTTTCTAAAACTATGTAACCAAAGTCTCTGTCTGTACCTCCTTCCAGAGGCCTTTCTCTTTAAAGGAGCTAACTAGTCTACAAGCATATCGTGCACATAGTAACCAATGCTGGGCAAGGTGTTGTACACTGGAGATGCAGTGGTATAGTGGCAGATATTTTTGATGACATGCAAGATGCCCCTTTCATGTACTGGAAATACTACAAAGTTGATGCTGTTTCAAAAAAAAAAAAAAGTTAGACAGCTATGAATGATTAACTTTCAAGTCACAGGACAAGGAGCAATAGACTCAGGCTGCAGCTGGGCAAGTTAAGGCTGGCGATGAGGGAAAGCAGGGGGTGCCGCACTGGGATGGGGGGTGGAAGCCCCAGAGCCGATCCCTGGCTGGTTTGACAGAGCTGGAGCTTGGCTGGATGGGACCCCTGAGTCTTCCCCCCACCCCTGCCAATCCTTGGCACCTGTGGCTCCAGGTGCAAGCCGGGCTCGGAGCGGAAGATGTGCCCTGTCATACAGCTTTTATTTCTCCCATTGCCCTTATGGCTTTTGGTTCACATGGCACCACCCGCCCCGCCCCCCAGCTGATCTAAATAGGTATGATTCCATTGACTTCAACAGAGTTATGTCAATTTACAGTAGCTAGGGGTGTGTCTCACTGCAATACCCCTCTGCATTCAATAAGTACGTCACTATTGTGGACTGAAAAAGATTTGGGACTTGAAGTTCTGCATTTAAAACTGTAAACTTAAGCATTCGGACAATAGGTGGAGACCTTGGCATTGCAACATTATCAACCCTTGTGTTACATTGGTGTAGCCTGTAAAGTCTTCATAAAAATAACTTTGTGTTCTGTATCCTCAGGCTTTTATAAATGACCCTTTTAGTGTTTTGTTAAAAGCCACTTTAACTGGGCAGTGCCTCTAGGCGAAATCCATTAATGAATGAAACAGACTAGAACTGTCAGCAAAGGACAGATTTCTTTTATCTTTTATTTCTATAGTTACTCATTCTTGAGGCAGCAATTCCAGTGTAGTGGCTTTTGGCAAATTTAGCTGCTGTTACATCATTTCAGTGAGGTTTCCCCTGGAACTGCATGTTTTATGCTGACCATCCCCATAATTAGGCATTGTGCTACTTCTGGAAAATATTGGACTTCCTGCTGTCCCCTCTTGGATCTACTGGGTGGATTACTTTGGACTTTGTCTGTTGAGGCTTTCCCACAGGTCAGTGGGAGTTTTACATATGGAGGAGCAGCAGAGTATTTAGAGTCATCACTTAAATCGGTAGCCCTGAGAGGTGAATTTTACTGCAGGGAAGAAACCTCTTCCTGTGCATAATTCTAGATTCTTATCCCAGGTACATCCCAAACATGTACCCCGTCTAGTTTTTATAACCCTTATGTCTCTGTGGGTTAGCTGCTTTGTTTATTCATCTTGATCTCTTCAACTCACCTTCCATTCTCGCAGTGCTCACTCTCCCATCCTTTCTTTTTTCTTTCTGCATACTTTGTATTCAAATTATTATATTCCTTTCTGTATAGTACATCTGCTTTCTGCAATTCAAGTAAGATGTAGACTATGAAAGCACATGCTTTTCTGGACAAATGAGTTTTTAAAGTGCCACCCTGCCCTGCCTGACTTCAGACTAACATGGCTAATTACATTTCTAATTTAAAAATGTAAGGGTCAGTTCTCGATGTCCAGGTGTGGCCATTCTTAAAGGAGAGGTTGAGGTGATGGGAGAGAAATCCTTTTTCTTATTCCCTACTAAAATTTATGCTGAGCAAGTTGGCAGATGACACCAAGCTGTGGGGAGTAGTAGATACGTTGGAGAGTAGGGCTAGAATTTGGAGTGACCTAAACAAATTGGAGGATTGGGCCAAAAGGAATCTCATGAGGTTCAACAAGGACAAGTGCAAAGTCCTACACTTAGGATGGAACAACCCCATGCACCAGTACAGGCTGGGGGGTTACTGGCTGGACAATAGCTCTGTAGAAAAGGACCTGGGGGTTACAGTGAATATGCTGAATGTGAGCCAGCAATATGCCTTAGTTGCCAAGAAGGCTAACAGCATACTGGGCTGCATTGGAAAGTGTGTTGCCAGTAGGTCAAGGGAAGTAATTATTCTTCTCTATTCAGAATTGGTGAGGCCACATCTGGAGTACAGTTTTGGGTCCCCTCCCCACACTCCAAAATGATGTGGACAAATTAGAGAGAGTCCAGCGGAGAGTGACAAAAATGGTGAGGGGGTTGGGAGACATGACTTGTGAGGAAAGACTGGGGGAACTGAGCTTATTTAGTCTAGAGAAGAGGAGACTTAATAGCAGTCTTCAACTACTTGAAGGGGGGTTCCAAAGAGGATGGAGCTAGACTGTTCTCAGTGGTGGCAGGTGACAGAACAAGGAGCATGGTCTCAAGTTGCAGCAAGGAAAGTTTAGATTAGATGTTGAGAAAATTTTTCCTACTAGGAGGGTAGTAAAACACTGGAACAGGTTACCCAGAGAGGTGGTGGAAGCTCCATCCTTGGGGGTTTTCCAAACCCGGCTAGACAAAGCTTTGGCTGGGTTGATCTAGCTGGGGCTGGTCCTGCTTTGAGCAGGGGGTTGCACTAGATGACCTCCTGAGGTCCCTTCCAACCCAAACTCTATGATTCTATGACTATGAACCTGTACTGGGAATTCTCTAAAATCATGCTGCTTATTTTGATGAAGGTGCTTCAGTTGATGTTTAACTCATAATCTGCAGTTTCCTTACTTTACTGTTTTTTCTCTCATCCTTTTGAGAAGATTTGAAGATTTCCTTGCCCGCAAGTGGTCTTCAGAGAAGCGCTTTGGTTTGGAAGGTTGTGAAGTAATGATCCCTGCCCTTAAGACCATCATTGATAAATCCAGTGAGACGGGGATTGAGTATGTAATAATGGGGATGCCTCACAGGTAACTTTTATTTAAGTAAAAAAGGTGATTGAAAATCTGCTTGCTTCCTAAGAATATTCAGACACTTTTCACATTGTTAAAAAGACTGGGATTACAGAGGCTGCTGAAGCAGAGGTCAGTTATGCCTACTAAAAGATGCATTGAACAACAGAAGTAGGGTCCTGAGAGAGCTGCCTGTCTGTGAGAGGGTAAAGCTTTCACAATTGGAGGTCAGTTGAAGACCTAGTTTGAAAGAGCAAGCAAGTCTGGCAGAGGTGATACTTATCCTCCTGTGGAGAGAGCCTGCAATTGACAAGGAGGATTGTACCCGTTTATACTCTGACAGGCAGGGCCAGGAATGGGAAAGGACTGTGTTGATGAATAATAGATTAAAAAAGAATCCACTTAGAGTGATATTCATCTTTCCTTAAACAAGACTCTCATTTGTTTGTGTGACTTTGTTTTGTTCTCTAGTTTGAATTTACATGTTACAGACAGCAGTAGACTTGGCTGTCTTTTTCTGAGAGCTGAGTATGACTGAGCTGCATAACTCTTGTTGAAAGTGCAGTCACCTTTCTAGTACATGAGAGAATTGGTACTTAAAGCCCAGGGAAATTCTGTTAGGATAAAGTAACATAATACAAACTGTAGCAGGGGAAGAGGTTATAATTGTGCCATGGTATTTCTTGCTGTTTTAACTGGGAACTACTTCTTACAGCAGCAGAAAAATATAAAACTGCCACCTGCCTTTTTTTAATACAAAATTTAAGCTGTGTAAAAGGCGGTTATATTGCAGTTTGCTACTCAAGGATAGTGTGTGCATTTATCTACTGTTGCATCTATGGTAGCTGAAGTTATTAAATTTCTGGCCCTCTCCTTTACAACAAATCTGAAGTAAACACCAGCAGCTAGCTAATGCACAGCCTGCTGTGCCTGTTGCTATAATCATTAATTTAAAAGAATTTTCAGAAGGCCACCTCTTGCCTGCACTTGTGTACCTGCAGGTGACAAAATATGCCCACCTGGCTCCCATAAATAGCTAAACTAAGAAAAATTCCAAGCTCTTGTCTGAGAATTGTTGATTAGCTGGTCAAGATAATTCTGTGTTCTTGGTATATTAAGACTAGGAAAGAAATTCTTAGAAATAAGGAAACTTACAGCAATCAACTGCATGTTGCACTCTGGAATGCCTCTGGAAATGCAATGGAGACAGTCTGGTGTGTTTGAAAGGAGGTTAAAAAGATCTTTAGTGAATTGGTACTTTTAGAAGTTTAATGTAATGTAAAGTGTAAGATGCATTTAAGGCCTGTAGCTTATACTCCTGATTTAATTGTTTTTTGTAAACTTTGATAAATTAATTTTCTGATTAAATGTATTTTTGGCTCATGATTTAAATGCATTTTGTGGCTTGTTTTAGAGGCAGGCTAAATGTGTTGGCCAACGTTATTCGGAAGGAACTGGAGCAGATCTTCTGTCAGTTTGATCCTAAACTTGAGGCAGCTGATGAGGTTAGATCCATTTTCATTACTGAGAGGGCAAAAATTCTCTTGCCCATATAGTGTGAACAGAATTAGATGCAGTTTAAGGGATGGAGTCTGTATTTTCTGTTTTCAGTGTGAATTTGTGAAATTCAGTAGCAGATTTACCCTTTACAAAATGCTGTATCATGTGCTCAAATGTAGGAGTCATAGGAATTAACTTTTCTATGAAATATAACTCTAAATCAGGTGTGTGAAACTCATCCAGCCCTGTGGGATTGATGAGCAATATGGGGCTAGTCCATGGGCTAGTCCCAGAGCATGAGGCTAGATCTAGAGGATCAAGGTGTATTATCTGGCCCGTGGGGCTGGGAATTTAGTGGTGAGTCGAATGGTGGCAGTGTTAATTACTGTGGCTCCCAGAGCCATTGCTCATCTCTGCACCAAATTCCCAACCCACAGGTAGCTCTGTGAGCCAGATGATGCAGTGCTGCACTCCAGATGTGGTCTGTGGGGCTGTCCATGGGTCAGAAATTTGATGCAGAGTGAGTGGTAGCAGTCGTAGCTCTGAGCCATACCATTTAATGCTGCTATTACTTTTCCCCACCACCAAATTTCCTGTCCTGCAGGCCAGATGACATGCCTTTTACATTCCTGCTCTAAAATGATAACTGTGGATATCCAAGTCCCAATATATCTATCTAATCTAGTTTGAAAGCTTTTGACATCTTCTGTTTTGCTTGGAGCCAAGCATGTCTGTATTTGGTTAACATTAAATAAGCACTGAACTATTTAAAATTTGAAATTATGTTGTCAAAACTATAGCATAGACTGAGACACAAGCCAGATTCATTTTTTAGATTTTAGACATGTTGAATTGGAAGTAGCTTGTATGAATGGCATTCATGAGCCTTCACTGCCTCTTGTCTATTAGGGATCTGGGGATGTAAAATATCATTTGGGAATGTACCACGAGAGGATCAACCGAGCAACAAATAAGAAAATCACCCTTTCGCTTGTGGCTAACCCATCTCATTTGGAAGCAGTGGACCCTGTTGTACAGGGAAAGACCAAAGCAGAACAGTTCTATCGAGGAGATACAGAAGGTAAAAAGGTAAATATTACTTGGATCTGGCAATAACTTTGGCTTGAACTATCAGCTTTAACTTTTTTTTCAATAGATCAGTAACAGAACTTTTGTGCTGTAAAAGTGGGTGAATTATTTTTGAAGACTGAAGCTCTTTTATAATTGGTAATGTCACCCTCGAAACAGAACTACTCATTTCAAATTAGTCTGCAGACAAGTGGTACCTTCTTCCTACTAACAAGCTTCCTGAATCTGACTGATTGGTAGGTTGATTAAGTTAAAATTTAGAAGCAATCAAATAAATTGGAACCAACTCAGCTGGGAATTGAACAAGGCAGTCAGCACAGACAAACATGTGGTTTATGACTGTCTTACTCCATTATTTGAATTTCACAGTTTCTAGGAATTACCACATTATAGACTTGAATGCTGTTGGGCTAGGCACTATAGAAACACATACCAAAAACACAGTTCTTTTCCCTGAGACTCTTATAGTTGCAATTCTTGCTACTTTAATTACTCTTTTATTTCAGGTCATGTCCATATTGCTACATGGAGATGCTGCCTTTGCTGGACAGGGAGTGGTGTATGAAACCTTTCATCTCAGTGATCTGCCATCTTATACTACAAATGGCACTATCCATGTTGTGGTCAACAACCAGGTGATTTAGCAGTGAATTCCCAAAGGAATTTGGGTGTAATGAATGAATAGCTTCTAGTGGTACTACTTTGTTCATAATGGACTGGGTATGTTGGTCTTTCTTTCAGACCCCTTACCTGCAGTAGAATTGTTATGACCTGAAAATGGTGCTTGTGGGAGGGTTCTGCACTTTTATCTTTGTCTCCCCTCTGTATTCAACGTTCCCGCTCAGTCTCCCTGCACGATGTCTTACTGGAAAACAAAAGCGTTGTAAGGCAAGGGACCAGCTCGTTAGCCTAGCATTATCTAGCTTTGCTGTCCTCAACCAGTGAAGGGGCGCGTGGCCAGTTATCAGCACAATTTCCTGCTCAAGGAGACAATAATGGAACAATTCCATTCCCCACCGGATAGCTAAACATTCTCACTCAATTGTAGATCCGCTATTTTTTCTTCATCTTTAGCCAGTTGAGACTGCCAAATATTTTGGAATGCAGGTATTTGTCCTTGCATATCATAAAAATACCCCTCACCTATCAGTTGCTCTATATCTAGGTCATCTTGTTCATCCTTCTTTGGATCTCTGAAGCAGGCTGTTCCGGGGTCCCTTTCCCACTCAACCCCTTTCTTGGTGATGACTCGTACAAGGACTTCCTCTAGATATTTCCAATCTACTCCTAAGAGCATGGGGCAAGGTAGTCTTTCAGTTAGGCCTATGGCAATTTCTTCTGTGCAACCAAGTACCATCAGCTGAACCCTCCTGCATTCATAAGTGTATGAAGCCCCATGAATACAGATCATGCTTACTGGGTTCTCTGGGTTCCCTAGATGAGATGGAAAAAGAGTGGCCCGAATCATTGACTGGGAACAACCAGTATCGATCACTGCAGGTACAATAGTGTCTCCTATTCTTACTTCTACCACTGGTTTGTTTTGATGGCCCAGCCCCTTATGCCAGCTGAAACTGCAGTTAATTTTTTCAACATGAGTATTATCGCCAGCAGTTTCAGTCTGGACTTTTTGTGGACAGAAACACAAGATGTGCCCTTTTTCCCCACATCTGTAGCATGCTACTTCTCTCAAATCCCAGGTTCGAAGTTCCCGTCCCAAATTCTGAGTATTCTCTCCCCACCGTGACTGGTTAGATGTTCCTTGCTGGGCCCCAGATGTTGGACCTCCTGAGTGGTCTCTCCTAGGGGCCTTGCCCTCTCCTGCTGCTGCAGCATAATCTTCAGCAAGTCGTAGAGCTTTTTCTACAGTCTTAGGTTGATGGCGTCGTACCCGTCGCTGGGAACTACTGCTAAGATCAGTAAGGAATTGTTCTAGTACTATAACGTCTATTGCTTCTGAGAGAGTATGTGTCTCAGGCTGCAACCATCATTCTGCCAGATCACTTAGCATTTGAGCCAGTAGATGGGGTCGAGTCCCTTCAGGGCTCTTTTTAGCCCAAAATTTCTGGTGATTTAAGACTTGGAGAAAATCTGTAATTGATATAATATCGTCACGTTTACCTTCTGGTAATCTCTAGCTTCTGTCCTGTTGAGGGCACGGTAAGCTGCTTGTGCTGGTTCAATAAGAAGAGGTCCGATTTGAGCTGCCCAGCTTCCCGGGTCCCATTTTGCGGCTGTAGCTATCCTTTCAAAGGCTTCTAGGTATGCTTCCACATCATTATCCGGGGACACGAGGCAACCTGGTTCCATCTCCATCTCTCCCCAGTGACATCTGTTTTGCCTCAATTTTCTTGCATAAATCTTGTTGGCAAGAGAAAAGCCAGATCCTTGCTTCCGCCTCTCGAGTCCTCATTTGCACTCTCTCTTCCAGCTGGGCTTGATGTCCCTGTAGAAGTTGCAGGGTAACACTGAGCCTGCTGCCAGTTGGTGGGACCTTGTGCATCTGTCAGGCCCAAATTAGGCCTAACCTAAAAAGGCCTCTGGGAGGAGGCCAACCTGACACCCTGAAGGGGCGGGGGTCAGTGTCGTGGAACCCGGACCCTATGACCTAATGCATCTGTTGCAATTCATCACCACAGAAAAGGGGAACTGCCCTGAGCCGACCCTCTGGCCCTGCCAAGTCCGGGACTTTCCGGATGTGAAGGTTGTAAAAATTGAAATTGGAAAATAACTGCTTGCAAAATGAAATAACAGCTTGGCTTTAATCCCAGAAAAGGCAGTAAGGCAAAAAGTGAACAAGGGAGAACAAGGGGGAGAGGAAAGGTACTTAAGTTGAAGGGAGTTAGGTCCCAGTTGGAACTGCTTTGGGGAGGACAAGGCTGAGGACCCAATAAAGGAGGCAGTCTCGCCACCCTGGATGCAGGGTGGGGTTCCTGAGACCTATTGGGTAACAACTGGGGATAGGGTGTGGAGTGCCTTTCCTCCAGCCTGACTTACTTGCAGCTCAGAACTTATGATGATTTCTATGTATGTTGTTGACTTTTCCTTGTAATAAAGAGTGGCACTTGAGTTTTACTTGGCGTGTGACTGGTGGGTTACTCACCTACCCCTGTTGGGAAGGGAGGGAGCCCCTAACAAGTGGTGGAGAATGTGGGCAAAGACCCCTCTTTGAGACGGCGTGGCCAGCTGGACTCAAGGAGCTGGAAACCATGTTCACACGCTGGGATAAAACCACAAGTCTTTCTGAACTCAGCAAGGTGCATCTATGGTACCCCTCCAGCGTAAGGGACCTCAGGTCCCTTGCTGTGGTAGAGGGAGTTTTTCCCAATGGCAAACAGGTAGAAAGCCTGGGAAGATGGCGTTGTTAGAAGGCGCCATCTCTTTGTTATGGGATTTGGTGGGAGTCTTGTTGCCTTTAGAGGACCCAAAGTCAGAGAAGAGACAAGAGGTGGCGGTGCTTAGCCAGGTCGTGGAACAGAACGACTGGCTGACCACCCCTCCTCCTGCGGAAATTGTGGTACACAAAACTCCACTGGATGAGCCAGGGGTAAGTGCAGTAATGGAGTCCTGAGTCCATCAGGGGCCTGATGGAGGGACTGCTGGACAACAGTGGGAGGTGGTCCCCTGAAAACCAACAGACCTCCAAACTGAACTGGCCATCTGGACAAAAAGTGCAAAAAAGAGCTAAGGCCAGTGAGCTAGCAAAGTAGCTTCCCAGGAGTTGGAAAAATTCTTCACTCCCTAAAAATCACAAGCAATGCTAGCTAAAATTTTCCCAAAAAAATGGTACAAGTCTGCCCAAGCCTCTGCAAGAGTAGGTCGTAATAGATAGGCATAAAACCGGGCATTATGCCTATCAGTTAATAAGCTTTGCCATAAAAACATTAGATCATTAAAAATTGTCCAAAGATCAACATTCAAGAAAACCAAAATGAGTAAACTAGAAAAAAGCTATACGCCAATTGAGCGGAAATGCATTCATTGAAGCAGCATTTTACTATCAGTTGAACAACCCCCCCCCCCCC